TGCGAAACACTGTCCTATGAAGTTTGTAGAAAGTTAAAAGATATAAAGGAAAATGTTATTGGTTGATAAAATTACACACTGTAAAAGTAGAGGCTAGTACCAAGCTGTAAATTAGAAAAATCAATGTAAGTTTATGACTTTAGAAATAAAACTTTCCAGCTCTTAGGTTGATACTAATATCACTAAAAGGAACCTGGACTCCATGTAAGGTAGCTAATTCCATATCTTCGGAAAGGAAGAATCAAAATGTCTGAAATATCTGTTGCCAAAAAACAAACAAAAAAAACACTTGAAAATAGCAGGATGATACTAAAAGAAAAAGAGTCGGTTTAAAGGGGGCCCTGCTGTCTAGTTGGTGCTAAGTTGAATATTATTTGGACATGTTGAGTGTGAGAGCAGCCATTTGTTTATAATGAGAGTCAAAGAGAAAAGGTCATTTAAGTTACAAAAAGGTCATAATGCAAAAGATGAAAACAAGATGTTAATATCAATAAATATGGACATTTTTATTACAGCTGTCTCTGTTTCTATTTGTGTGAGCAGGAATGAAACCGATCAGCCCCTTGATCACACATTGTTCAGGCAGAATATGGTGGGGGTTGTGGAAGGGTCCAACTGTTAACGAGCCCAGCTGGTTACATACAACCAAAGAGGATCCGAGTATGAGTTCCAAAATAAGCCAAGGTTCCGAAGAGAAATGTTATAATTTCTAGGATTTCAGTCTCTAAATGTTCTCTCTCAATTTTTTAATATTTGTAACTGCTATACAAACTTAAAAAACTCAAGTACAATATAGTACTATTTAATTATAATAAGTTTAGTAACTGGTACAGCTAGTCCCTCGTTACTTTTTTTCTTGGCTATTCTCTCCCATGCTGAGCAGCCAGAAACACAGCCAAACTCGTGCCCCAGAGAGAGACTGGCGAGGACACTGCTGCCATGGCCCAGTCAGGCTGCACTGGCCCCACTTCTAGTGCACTCAGTCTGCAGCTGCCCCCACAGCCAAAATGCACTCTGGCCACCTGTGTCTCTGGGTCAGTGGTCCAGACTTAAAGTTCCAAGCACGATTATCTGATTGGCCAAGTCAAGGTCACCCACCCTGTTCTCACAGCCAGGGGTTGGGGAGAACAGGAATAAGGCCTTTGGGCTGTCAGGGAAACTGCCTCTCACAACAGTGGGTGCCCCAAACACAGCAAGGGGATTCCCGTGCCCTGTGGCCCCCATGACAAAAGACCAACTCCAGAGCTAGAATGACAGATGCAACTGCGAATAGGTCAGAAAGATGAATAAAATCGCAGGTTTTCTTTCGAAAGCTCATGTTACTCCGACAGCTCCTCTTGGCTTATCTCCACAAGCTGCTTTTTGCTAATTATCCAATACATAAATTTTGCCGCCTCCGCCATTGTTTAAAAGAGATCATCTCTGATAACCATTCTGCCTCAAACCACTTAAATCCTGTATTTACCACAAGGTAAGACTACTTTCCTCTATCTGGAGCCAATTGTAAATTAGTATTTAAAATTTCCTGGGCCAGCCAAGCGGCGCATTGGTTAAGAGTTGGCTGGGGACGCCAGCTCTGAGCAGCAGGGCCCTGGTTTGGATCCCACATGGGGGGACCAGTGACGCTGCGCCCTCTACAGCTAAGATGGTGAACAACAGCTCAACCTGGAGCTGGGCTGCCATGAGTCGCTGGCCATGATGTAGGCTGCAGTGGAGCTGGTCGGCAGCTGGTGTGCACTTTTGTGAGTTGCCGTGAGCGGCCATCCAATGGCCGGTGAGCAACTGCCTCACCCAGGAAGAGCGCAATGATAATACCAACATGGGCCAGTGAAGCGACGTCCTCCACAACTAGACNATTGACCAAGTCCTTGGAGAGTTCTCCACAGACATAGTCTGTCTTGCAGGATTCATGAGAATTTTATCTGGCCCCTTTGTCAGAAAATGGAATGGTAAGCAAAAATTATTTGACACCGCATTGAGAAATCAACTGAAAATGGACTACAGGGTGGTTAATTTGCCAAACAATTCCAGTCGTAAAATATTTACTGCAACATTTTCTTCTATGGCACAGGTCATAATTTAGTTTCCTTTGCCTAAGCCCAAAGCACGACCCAATGATGACTTATTTATTATCCTGCTCTTTTTATCAGTTTTCTTTGGTCTGCTGTAATGAGTCACTTTTTCTAATATAGCTTAGGTTTGTTTTACATTGCTACAAAGATAATAGTTCATCTTCTGAGTAAATACTTGGAAGAGACTTTTAGAAAGAAGAGAACGTGGCTCCCTATATCCCAAAATGAAGAGCCCATCCTCTCCTTAGGTAGTATAGACCATGGCCAGAAGACGGCAAGGAAGACATGGTTGCCAGAAAACAAAATATCTTGTGTTTTCCCTTTTTCCACAAAAGTTTTGACTTCATACTATTATCTTTTTTGGTGTACACATTTGGGATAGTAATGCATTTTCTTTCCAAAGAGTTTGTTTTCCTAAGAGAATATAGTTAGCGCACTTGTGGTATAATATAAACAGACAATGCCTTTGGTGACGTAAGGCACATAGAACAAACTAATCAGCATCTGGCTGGCGGACATGCCGCTTGGTGGTTAGAAGGCAAGCACACGGACACTGCAGGAACCGCCTGTGTCTTTCTAATAGGATGTGCCAGCGACTAGCTGAATTTTCTGCAAGAGCCCTAGGATCCAGATTAGGCACCCCACTCTGCCCTGGTCCCTATCCAACTTGCCATCACTGCAGGTGCCTATTCAGAGCCCTCACTGTGTCTTCAGCTGTGCCAGGCAGGAACTTGCCACCCCCAGGGCCTCCTTCAATGAGAACCTGTCTTTCCTCTTTACAGCATTTCTGTCTTTCACAACGAAAAACACCCATCCCAGAAAAATCCTGCTCCTATTGACTCCGGTTTCCAGCCAGGAAAGCATGTATTTCTTTAACAGAATCCAGAGGCTGTTTCAATTCTGACCACTGTGCTTTTCATTCCCAGGGAAGATGCTGAACATCCACCCTTCCTTGCTCCCTTCTTTTAAGGGTGCAAATGCCCACGAACAAGCCCTGGATGCCGGTGTCACAGTAACGGG